AAACTGTATATAAATTTCTATCAAGTTGATGTAGATGGAACACAAGTAACACAACAGTTTTAACTTTTAAATCATAATTGTAAAGATATTTTACCCTCCCCAGTTTCGAAGTTTACCCCTCATAAGTCTTTTTCTAAAATTATTTTATTTTTATTTAAACAAAATATGAAATTTGTGAAATGACATCAATATCTATTGTGTTTTCTTTAAAATTAACATGTGTGATAAACACAACGTTTTTATGGATATCTGTAATGTTTAAGAGTTAGGCAGTGCCAGAAATATTATAAGGTCAAAAGCAAATTGTTTTAAAAAAAGGCATTTGATCTTTGCTTATATCACTTAAATATCTATTTAATCAATACAATTAGAGTGAGAAATCATAGAATAAAATATTTATCAAAAGAAGGAAGATTTAATACTGCAACTCTCAGAATATCTGGTTCCAGTTGATATTTAGGATGTTGGTGATTTTCAATCATTCGCATACAAACAACCATTTTTTTTTATTGTTGGATCGTAATTTTAATTTAAAAAAACTATTTAAATTGAAATTTAGATTTACTAAGTTCAACATTGCCTAATAGTGTTAAAAACATAAGTACATACTTTTTAAAGTATATACATATATGAACAACTGAAACAAAGAATTTCATGATTTTCTTTTATGAATTTTATTCAATACTAGTTTATGCCCGCGACTTCGTCCGCGTTAGTTTGGTCAAGAGTAATATATGTAGGGATAGCTGACCAGCGAACTTTATTCCGTCTTAGAGGCTATAAATAATCAGGTTTTGCCTGTTTCAATCAAACAGAATGATTGACATATTAGTTAGTTGTCAAATCTAATGACAAAAAAAAAAACGTTTGTTATGGGGAAATAGAAAAGAGCTGTTTTTTAGGGTTTTCCCGGCAATTATTCCAATTTTTTCTCACCTTTTAAAACCTTCCCTGGACTTCCAGGAGTATTTCAAGACTAAAAAAAAATTAGCCAAATCGGTTCAGCCGTTCTCGAGTTTTAGCAAGACCAAGGAACAGCAATCCATTTTTATATATATAGAAGATAGAAGATAACATGCAATAATTAGTTTCCGTTCTTCAGAAAAACTACATTCATAAAGCTTGAGGCCTAAACCTATGCTCCTATTATTATGTAAAATTGGGCACAGCTCAATAATTTTTAATACTATAGATAAATATTGTGCATTAATAAAAAAGTCTCCATATGATTGTGATATTGCCAATTTAAATAGACATATATGTATGTATGTTGTATTGCTAACCTATTTGTCCTGGACCAAGAATATCCATATCTTATATCTGAGATTATCGCCCTCTACCAACTAAACCGGTATAGCCCCGTGAAATTTAGCAGGAGATTACGACCTCTGCAGAATCTGGAAAAAGAAATTATTTACATCAATATAACAATCGGATGATCTTTATAAAAACTTGAATTTAAAGTCCCAATATGTCTTCTTCTATCTATTTGATAAACAAAAGTAGATAGATTAAGAAAAAAAAAACAATAAAGCTTCTGAATAAAAATATCTAAGTAAAGACATAAAATGTGTTCAAACTTCATATTAAATTAAGCATTTTTTCTAACCAATTAATTTTTACAACAGTTTTGATGATGTGACTTACAAATATTCCACATAAATTTTTACATCCTATTTTTAATTACTTATGCCATAATTATACAAAATAAAATAAATAGAAATGTATATATATATAGTTAAAAGTTAATAATAATTTTATAATTATAATAAAAAATCACTCCCCAAAGTCTTCATTCTTTTATACATATACTTCAAATATATTGAAGAAAGAATAAGCATACCTTAAGTACTTTGAGCATTCTAAGGAACTATCATAAGGATAGGTTGCTTCACACATTACCATTAAATCCTGGATTTGTTCCTTGACATATCCTGAAATAAAATTGCTATTTAGAATGTATATATTATTAACAAATTTTTTTTTTTTAATTAATAATATATTTACCAAAGTCTGCTTGAGTATAAAATGTATCAATTTGAGCTTGTTTAGTTTTAACCCAACCTCGATGATCACCGGGACATTTGGGTCTTACATGATATGAGCTATTTGGAGAACAGTTGTTTTCATAACCCCAACAAACTTTACTATCAGTCAACGATTTATATGGACAATTTATACTTTCCTTACAAGCATTGGCCAAGTCAGGAAATTAGGTTTAAAAAGGTAAGGAATGTGTTCAGGAGGTATATTTAAGTCATTCAATGCCGCCGTGATAATATCACCGAAGTATAGGAAACAGATAAAACATTAAAAACTTTCATTGTACTCCTGACCAAATTTATAATAGAAATACATCTTTGATACGATATTTGTTAATTCTCATATTTTAAAATACGTAAACGTTTTACAAACACTTTCACAAGCTTTTCATAACGAAAGTTTGTGCTTTATCAAAAGCCTAAACTTTCAAACTAAATGTGACAATTTGCTTTGACAGCACCAACAGCTGATTTTAAATATAATGGGTAGGTAGATATAGATAGGTATTTAATTTGGACTTTTGCATGGCACGAAAAAAAATTGTCTATAAAACAGATGATATGAAGTTAAATTTTCCTCATATATAATATTTTAATAATGTTTTTTCTCTTGCTTATTGGTTATAATAATTCACGATTAATGACCTATTTATTATTTTTTGGAATGTGTGAAGGTAAACTGATTTGAAAAATATATACAAAAAGCATTGCCACTAATTTTGAATTAAACGAAATTACAATTTCAATATTATTATTTTTGTCTTTTTTTGCAATTTTGAGGGTATTCTTAAATATTATTTTCGTAGAATAACAAGGTGATGCAAAACAAATTCTACTAGTACACAAGACAAAACCCAATTAAAACTAAGTATATACGAATAATATAATGTACCATGTTATTAATAGTGGTAAATCCATATAATTACGTAAACTTTAAACAGTTTCCATGTATGACCAGAAAACATGTTTTTATCTGTGATTTGTTATTTTGTTTCGTCCTTCGGCAGATGTCACTAATCACTATCCGTTTCGCGCCCTTTTCCGGAAATAAATCCGGCGGGGGTTTCTGGTTTTGAGTACACGTGAACAGCGTCACCCAATCAGCTGGTAAATTCTGAGACCGGTGCTGCACTGTCAATGTTTTCTTTGCGTGCTTGTTTTTGTAGTTAAATTACTATATTTTACTATTTTATATTAAAGTGTGTTTTTTAGTGAAAATACTGGTCGAGTCTTGCTTTATTATAGGTGTTTTATTTTGAAGAGGATTAGCGATTACAATTCTGACCTTCAAAGTTATCCTAAATATTGTCGCCATTTTGACCATGCTAGATAAAATTAAATAGTTTATTTTTATTTGTTCACCCTTAGAAATTCCCTAGTGAGATATGTAAATGGATACCCAATCGCGAAAAGGTCTACGACAATGTCCCAGAATACTAGTATAGTAAATTTCCTAATTCACGACGCTAATGGGTTAGTAGTGACGCTAGATTGGATTCTCATTTAGTATTTTATTTTTGTTTTTCCTTTATTAATCTTAAATTCAAGTTATGGTTATTGGGCGTTCTATTTATAAGCTTTATTTCAATACTCTACGATCGGCCAGATGTGTTTACTCCATTTCATTTTTTTGATATCTAACTAGTTGCTTTATGATTTTTAATTCTCTTAATTATAAACGCAGTTTTAACAACCACAAAACTCTGTTTTAGGACAGCCCCAAATGGTTAAAGTAGTTCAAAATACAAATCCCCAACCCATTGCTTCAGTTAAAATTAAAAACAAAAAACCTGTGAAGGTTTTTAAATTATCTTCCTCAGTAGAAGTGGAATACTCAGGTATGTTCTAAATATTTTAACTAATTAACATAATGTGTCCACTTGCCCTCACAGGTCTTGTTTGTTCACAAATATAGTTTCAACATTAAATTTTGTATTTATATGTGTCTAATTTCATGATTCATTCTTTATATGTTGACTTTCTCCCCTCTAGTATTTTAAATATCATGTAGATAATAAAAATATCACAAAAAAAAATATTATCATGCTCAATAATAACAGTGAACTCCCTTTTATGATTGAATCATAGATTTTTTTCTATTTTGTTGATTAAATAAACTTAAACTATGCTATGTCCACCTCACATAGCTTATTGTGAGTAATCTTTATAAATATAAAACTCTAAAAACAATTAAAATTCAGATTGTATCAATTTTCAGCCTCCTGTTTCTGCAACCAATTCAGGTTACAGGCATCAAATGTGCTTCAAGTAAGCATCATTTTTATGTGTAAACTATACTGTTGTTTAATAATTATAAATTGTTATCAGTCATTAACACCTTAGAGATTTAGAATACACAATATTAGAAACATAATTTGTCTGCCATTGTTTGTATACTTCATATATTAAAAATAGAAGACATCCATTAGCTTATCACTTATTATGAAAGTCTATGGTTTGTTTTATTATAAAATAAATGTGAAATATTATGTAAAACATGTGGGGTAATTGATTGTAGTCCCTTATATTTTTTAAAATCAGTTAAATCATCTTAAACTGCCATTGATGCAAAACTTCTTTATCAATGCACACATCTTTAACTTTCTACTTTATTCTATTTGTATGATAATTCACCTCAAGGGGATCAAACTATTTGTGCAACCTACATTTAACCTTCTAAATGTGTCATGGTTTTCAGAATTGGTACAAGTACCTGTTGATACTTTAGCAAAGATTGCAAAGAATTAAATCTGAACCTGAATCAAGTGTTAATATTGAAAAATAATGTAAGTCTCCCCTAAAGGTTTTTTAAAAGTGGTTTTATTTGTATTTGAGTTGTTCTATAAATAAATTTTACTTAGCAAGCTGAGAGTAGAGCTTGTTTATGCTTCTTGAACTATTGTATAAATAACCTTAAATTTTTTTAGATTGAGAATCAAAGGCAGTTAGGTGAGGTTAATGTTATACAATCCATACCACCAGAAACTAGTACCTATAGTAACAAAATCTGAGCCCGAGGATACTGTAGAGGGACACAAAGAGAGGTACACTTCTAGTAATTCTATAATGTCTCATGCTTCACGGAGAAGACATGATTCTGATAATGATCCCACCTGCAGAATAGTAAGTGAAACTTATACCATTCCTTAGCAAGTTAAAGTTTATTTAGAATTATTAAATAGAAACTTGATGTAAGAATGTCACCAATATATGTAATTGAAAGGTGACATACATTTCATACCCTGTAACGTCATAAACATAATGAAGACTTCTCCATTATTATTATTTTTAGGTTTGAAAGTAAATCATGTAGGTTGTTTCAGAGTTCTAATTTTAAAATATAGTTTTGTCTTGAGAATTTATCGGGGTTTAAAAATTATAGATTTGTGAAATTGTTTCTTCCTCCCTAATCCATTAATATCAATTTTGTGTTTTAGTATAAATGGATGAATTTCCTCTTCCTATAAGGTCATAAATTCAAATTTATTTAAGCTTTTTAGCTAAGTGACGCTCAAGCTAATCCAATCCAGGATGGAAAGCATGTGTTTTATAACTTTCCTCTTTCCTTTAGGCTTCTTCCTTTGAATTGAGATGTTTTGCTTTGTTAGGGGACAATATGTTTGCTGCTTTTTTTCGACCTTGATCACCTAGTTTAGTCTAAAGGGCTGTTTGTTACTGCTAATTTAAATGATGTTTATTAAACACATGTCCATGGTGTTCTTATCTGTTGCTACACCTATAGGCTAATTTTTATAATTCAGAAGTAACAGATATTTAAGTGCCAGTTATCAAGACCTTTCGCCTATTTTAAATTCCTTGGGACTATTTGATATTAGCATTCCGTCCGCAGCTTCGCCCGCGTGGAGTTCGGTTATATCGCGGTTCCAAGAGAATCTTAAAAAGTCTGAGATTAAAACTATCCTATGTTCTTTCTCAAGGTCAAACTCTATCCCAGTACCAAATTTCATTAAAATAAGTTCAGTGGTTTAGGCGTAAAAAAGCGTAACAGACAGACAGAGTTACTTTTGCATTTATATGTAATACTAGCTTTTGCCGCGGCTTCGTCCGCGTGGAATAGTTACTTCCGACAGATTTTTGGTTCTTCCCACATAGTTCCCCGTTCTTGCGGGGTTTCGCGAATGGGTCGAGTTCCCGTAGAATTTTCAGGATGAAAACCTATGTTTTTTTTAATTAATAATGAAGTACTCTTAACCAACAAACATATTTATTTGTTGTTATATGAATAAAGATTAATATTATTATTTTGATACAACTTAAACAAATTTATTTCAACAAAATTAGGTACCATAAAAACGGTTTTTGTGAGTTAAATCTTAAAAGATAGACATATACTGTCGCGGACTGTTTTTTAGATCATTAAAAGAGCTATTATTCTTTAATACATATTTTTTTGTGTATCTTGAAACTGTTTTCACGGCGCACGCAACGGAAGGCTTCAAAGATGAAATAATTTCTCCCGTTTTTTTTACACATTTACCACTATATCTTTGCTCTTATTGGGTCGTAGCGTGATGTTATATAGCTCACAGCCTTCCCTCAATAACTGGACTATCCAACACAAAAAGAATTATTCAATTCGAACCAGTAGTTTCGGAGATTAGGGCTTTCAAAACAAACAAACAAACTCTTCAGCTTTATAATATTAGTATAGATTAGAAGGGATCATCGCGTAAAAAATACGCTATAAAACTTAGGAGCCGACGTTACAATAAAGAATCATTGTAATTTGGTTTCCGTCCTAAACCTCGTATCTCTGAACTGTAATGTTGCACTCCAGTTTCTTTGACCCTTTGTCCAATTAAGAGTCATAAACTTCTATGATAATCGACTTCCGTCCGATAGTCCAGCCCTTATAGAAACTGCTATATCATTTTTGAAAAGTTTTTAATAAAAGCTTTGTGTTTCTTTACAAATTTAATATCCACACAATATGAAAATTTGTCTCTTACGGAAGATTTTGAAGCAAGAGCGTTTCAGGTCGAGTCTTTAACACCCGTGTTATTTGTGATTACATTTTACTAGCCGCGTACAAACACTATTTAGTTATTTATAAAAGACAAAGTGTTTAAAAAAGTAATTTAAAAAGTGCTATACCTACAGTAGCATTTCTATTAGTTTTCAGAATTCTTTCTTGATTATCATTATAATTTTCGTATATTTTATGAGAATTATTGAAAACAAATGCATAATAATTGGCTTTGTAATTTAAGTGATCATTATGCCTAGTTTAAGTGGGTCAGTGATTGCGTGTATAAATTATCTATCATTTGATGAGATGAAAAAAGTGAAATCTATTCATTTTTATAATAATTATGAAATTAGAGACTAGATGTAAATAGTAACTTATTTTTTGTATCTTCACTTTTTAATACCTACAATACTTAAATTTTTTATTAATTCTGTTTGTAAATATATATGCGTTATAATTTTCAGTACGACGAAACGACGTAAACATGCTGATAAAGTGGGCAAAGGTCTTAGGCATTTTTCAATGGTAAAGTATGTGAGAAAGTAAGAAACAAAGGATTTACTTGCATACAATGAAGTAGCTGATGAATTAGTTTTAGAATTTGCAGCAGGAATGCACGGTTCAGCTGATAGCCAAGTATGTATTCTTATCTTTTTTAAAAGTTTAGTTTCTCATAGTAATATTAAGAAATAAATAATGTATTATAGTTTAACTAACTTCAAACCTTAAAAAAAAATTATACAATATTAGTATAGATGGTTTTTTCTTACTGTTTTTGCATTCCTACATAAATTGTCAAACAATTTTTCTTTATAAAAAAAATTCTTCAGTACATGTTTAAGTGAGTGATTTAGTTAATTCATTCAATAATTCCGTTCATGAGATAAGAAAAACATGCTAGTTTAAATGTAACTCAGAAAATCTTACCCTTGCAGCAAGTATGATCAAAAGAATATTAGGAGAAGAGTATATGACGCGCTCAATGTATTTAATGGGCCATGAATATTATATCAAAAGGAGAAAAAAGAAATTCGATGGTTAGGTCTTCCAACTAATTCGGTTCAGGAATGTTTCTGCTCTCGAAAAAAGAAAAACAGACTAAAGTAGAGCAAATACAGAAGAAAACACAGCAATTACAAGAACTTATATTACAGGTAACAAAAATCTAAATATATTATTGTTAGACATTCATATGAAACATGTGTTATAATAGTTTCCACTTATTCTGAGACAATTTTGTTTTGATCTTTGTAAATCAGCACTATTTAAGATGTGTGGGAACGAATTATTAGATAACAATATTGCACTTCTAGATCTTCTTCTTATTGATAGATGAGATGAATTGGTTCATTGACCTTTCATAATTTGTACTTTTTATTTTTAATAATTAAATCACTAGAAATTTTTATAGTTACATCAAGGACTTATGTTTCTTAATGCATGAGTTTTTTATACCAACTGATTAAGTATTAATATGTTAAAATATTTAACTTTGTGAGAGTCTCTATATAAATGCACAATTCACTTTTGGGATGGCTAATAATAGCAGACTATAACAAGTGTTGGATTTTAAATGAATAAAAAAAATACAGGAATACTTTGTAAATGTATTTAGACACATTTTGCAATGTCTCTTAATTGTCTGGGGCCACAATATGGTCAGGAAAAAATAAACCTATTTTCTTAAATATAACAGACTTTGTAAAATGTTTCTTGAAGAGTTCAAGGTCTGGTTTTTCAGTTTTATTCAGTTCTTGATGATTTTCTGAACTTCTTTATCAACATCAAAGTTGTTCTTTATTATTACAGTCATTGAAAACCAAAAACTGCATTTCACAGTTGCACCCATGTAGTTAAGGGATTGGGATGAAATACAATATTTTGAAAGCTGATTATTAGAAAATATGGGCACAATCATGATACACAATGGTCATATTATGATACAAAAATGTGCTGCAGATTTAAATTTACCGGAGTAATTTTGAATTGAAATAGAAAGTAGCCTATGTCCTTCTCTGGGATTCCTTCTATTGCTATACCAAAAATTCATCAAAAATCTGTTTAGCGGTTAGGCGTGTATAGTTAAACTTTATGATATTGATTGCATTGGTTTTTGCGATAGTAGTTCTTATTTATCAATAATCAGACCTTTTTACTTCTAGATACTTAGTTCCATTTGCAGTCTTTGAGACATGTATTTTTTAGTTACCAGCACTTGCTTTTATGCTTTGAAATGTTTCTGCGAGTTTATATTTCTTGATCAGTATGAGATAAATAGATTTAGAACAAATACAAGCTTAAAGTTTGTATTATATAATATTTTAAAACAAATCAAAGCACCATTTTGTGTCACAACTATTAGTTTTTTTACACAGCCCTCTCTCTGATGTGTTTAACTGCTTATAATAAAAAAAGATTGTTTATATTTGTAACATATTCAACATACATATTTAGAAAGGGGGAATTATGTAAATTTTTGTCTGGAATGTGATTTTATATAAGTAACTTATAACTAATTTTTTTTCAGCATATATCATTCAAAAGTTTAATAGAAAGAAATAAAGAAGCTGAAAATAAAGGTATAAAACCCTCACCATCCTCAGCAATCCACCTGCCATTTATAGTTGTAAATACAAGTGACAAAGCACTGATTGATTGTAGCATCTCTAATGATAAGTGAGTGCTATTAAAAATATAGTTTCTTAAACTATGTATCTACAAAATATTTATTAACTTTTGCTTAATAAAAAACTATATGTTTTCAGGACGGAGTATATGTTTAATTTTAATAAGAGATTTCAAATTCATGATGACATTGATATTTTAAAAAGAATGGGACTTCTTTATGGTGAGTATTAATAATAATACTTGTTTAAAAGCTTATGGTATTTGTACTTATACTAAATGAAAAATCTTTTGTATATTACAGGATTAGACAAGGGAGAATGTACAGAGGAAGAAATTGAAAAAAGTCAAAAGTATGGTACCAAAATCTTTAGAAAGTTATGTAGAACGTAAGTTGAAAATATAAATTTTATTAAATTAATTTTTAGTATCCATATACACTGCCGGCCAAAAGTTTGAGGCCACCCTTATCAAAGAATGAAAAATGAAATAAAATACGAAGCAAGAGGTTTAATTAATAATAATTAACATACTTATACATACTTCCTACATACATACGTCAAGAAGAAAAAAATCTTACATTAAATATGCCCTTGCATTTTATTACTTTTTTCACAAGTCGTGGCATATGACCAATCAATTTGTTGATTGTCTCTTGTGAAAATATTATTCCAGCTTTCTTGTTAAATCTTCCACATGTCTTGTTGCGAGAAGGGGCAACAACTCGGTACAATTTCTATCAAGCTCTTTCCACAAAAACTCGATCGGGGTGAGATCCGGGCTCAGAGGGGACCACACCATGTTTTTTTAACACCCCTTCTGTTTCTTTATCTTCTAAATAACCCCTGCATGTTTTGAACTATGTTTAGGATTATCTTGTTGGAAAAAGAAACTATTTCCAATGAATCTTACACCAGACGGAACAGCATTTTGTTGGAGTATTCATTTATACTGCTCCTTTTTAATAATTCCTTCAACTCGTATCAATTCTCCGGTCATAGCCCGAGAAGCATACCCAGACCATAATGAAACCACCATCATGTTAGACGATTGGCACCACACAGTCTGGCAATCATCTTTTCCTCGGCGCTACGTGGAACAAAAAATTCGTCTTTTAGATCCAAATATTTCAAATTTGGATTCCTTTGTCCAAAGAACTTTTTTAAAGTCTTTTTCAGTCCACTCTCTCGATAGGTAAGGGCCCCCTGCATCCGTTTCTTTCTGTTTTGTGGCCTAAGTAGTGGTTTTTTACTTTAACATTAACGAGCTCAGACTAACCAAGATTTAAACTTGATAAAAACTCAGGTAAAAAAAAATATGTTATAGAAAGCGAAAATAATCCTGAACTTGAAACAAAACCCAAAATTAATTAGTAACTCATAAAAATATTACAATGACTCTACAACCTGGTCTCTGTCATAATGTTTTGTAACAATAGACCTTTATAGCACCATAACTTACAAATATACAAAAAGAATGACAATAATTAGTAGTTTTAATAACAATAGAATATGCAGGCATTGAAAGTAGCTATTTATCATATGTACTTTTGAAATATTTTGTTGATGAAGAAACATTCTTACAAGTGGTCTCAAAATTTGGCTGGCAGTGTATGTATATGGATGATGGTAATTTGTTTTCAAGATATTTTAACATACATTTTCTGTATCTGCAGATTGTAATATAATTTTTTATTCACAATTCTGACAATGGACCAGTTTTTAGGATCTTTGATATATTAATGCATAGAAAATATTTGTTATTTTTGGTATACATACTAAATTAGGTGGTTCTGAACTGAGTTAACTCAGATATATTTAATATAATTCTAATTTAACCTTGTCTAATGGCACACCATCGTTATAGTAAATCAATATAATATGCAGTTTAATAGCTCTCTAGAAAATACAAAAACAGCTTAATGACTCTTGTAGAAAATCATTCTTAAAAATGGAAAAAAAAGTAATTAAATTTATGCATAAAATTATATCAATATTATTTCATGAATATCTTGTCGTATACAAATTAAGTTTTCATATAAACAGTTGCAAGCTATAATTTTAATAAAGTAGGAAGAAAAAATACATATGTCTAGATTTTTTAAACCATTCAAAGTAGAATATATTAATAAACAATTTCCAAAATAAAACTAACTAGGTAATAATAATAATTCTTTTCGTAGTTAAGGTACTTCAAGTTCTTTTTGGTAACATATGTAATCATGTCAATAATGAATGTATTATGTGCTTTTGTGAATAAAATGTATTATTGTTTTTCTGAAACAAGAGTAAAAGTAATTATCTTTTGTCAAAATTTGATCTTAAATGCTAGGTAGGTAGAAATTAATTAAGGTTCTATCATTCAGTATTCCTCCTGAATAGAAAAATGATTTTATTAGATATGATAACTAAATAATAAGTCAATAATAACCAATTAAAATAAAAAAAAACTCATTGTATACTCATATAAAAATATAAAAAACTCATTGTATACTTCTGCAACAAAAATAACAAGCTTTATTATAATATTACAGAAATGGGCAGGGGAACAAGTAATGCTCTTGCTGAAATCCTTGATGATGAAGATGTAGATGAACTTGGTGCTGATGAAGAGGCGTTAGAGGGTGAAGCAGAAGGAGAGGAACAAGAAAGATGGTAATGATTATAGTGAAGACAGCAGTGACGTGGATGTCTAGCAACAATCATCTCTAGTAATTGTAATATCAATTTTTAATATTAGAAATGAGGTTTACAGCTTCATAGTTGACACAAAAGTTGTGTCACTCCTGTATAATACATTAAATGTACTATTTTGTGTCATCAGTAAGCATTCTAGTAGATAGGGCTCTGAAATTATGTGTATTTTTTCTAGCTCAAGTTCACTTTTTTATAAATTTATCATCTGATATTTCGAAATTATTAGTTTTTTTATACCGAAATATACTTTTCAAGTGTTGAATGATTCTTCTGCCTTTGAAAGTATGTGTATATTTTATGTTCATAATATTCATAAATCTTTATAAGAAAGAATATGTTTCAGCTGATGACACAGTTTGAATATAAATAATTAAAGTATGTTGTAGCTGAAGTTTTTTTTATTAAATATTATTTGCCTACATATGTTTTATTGTTAGTATTTGACCTATGTTATATGGTAATATTTTATTTGTTTTTGCATATTATTAGTTGATGACAAAATTGAAGTGATTCATTAAAGTACTTTTTAAATAAAACATGATCTCATGAATGAAGTATTTCCCTGAAAAACTTATTATTTCATTACATTACAAGGAAAAATGCACAAGATAAAATAATGACTTATGTATATCTAAATTTAAAAAAAACTGAGTCCATTTTTAGCAAATCTATAATTTATATTTTAGATTTGGAATTTGTTTAAAAGATTGAAATAAAATAGATTTAAATTATTGAAGTATATTTTTAAATCCATTACCTCTCCACATAGTAAGGCCACATAATCTACCAGAGATGTGTTAGATGTTTGAAAGCAATTATATATTAAATTTACCTGGATTAAAAAAAACACTTAACAATTTATTTAATATGAACCGTAAACTACATTTAATATAACTTAACTAATTATAAACAGTATAATGAGAATCTTTGGCTTTATCCTAAGCTTACTTTAAATCTTCATCATCAAACAAATCTTCAAAATCTGAAAGAAAAGAATAATTTATCAAGTTAATACATTTAATTACAATAACATCAAAAAAAAAAATAAAGTAATATTAATATTTTATTACCATTAAAAAAGTCAACATTGAACAGCTTTTTCGTTAGCAGCCAAAATCTATTAATAAGTTTGAAGGACCTCCAGCCTGCAATATAAGAGAGTTTTGTTGTAAAGTGACTAGAAACATTTTCCTGTTAATGATAAGTAGACATCAGATTATATACATAATTGTATATTTATGGTGTTACTCCATATTTTAGTACTTTTTCATTACCACATTTCAGTAGTGATATGTGTTAAAGTGTGTCGTATTATTGCCATTGGCACTGGCCAAGCTCTGAAAGGATTCTACTTTAAATTGCTTCACATCACCTGGTTAGACCACATTGTGCGGCAGATGAAATCAGAAGTGAGTTCAGCATAGTTTAAAAATTTTATTTCTTCTACCAAAAAAGTGTTTTTTAAAGCACCATCACGAGTACAAGTATTTAAAGAGAGACTACCAAATGCTGCACTACCCCCGGAAACCAATATAATATGATGGGGAACTTGGTTGGAAGCTGTATAGTTTTATGCTAAGAAGTTTGAAACCATAGAAGAAGTAGTTAGAACATTTTACAGATCAGGGACGCCATTGCTATCAATTCAAGGCAGCTGGCACTTAAGAATCCTTCAATAAAAAAAAATATTGCTTCTATATTGCAACACATTTCAGCAATAGACCCGATGCAATTCAAAAAACTAGAAACCAAAAATCTTCCTTTGTGCAGGTCTATGGAAATATAAGAAAATATGATTGATCAATGTAACTATAAATGGTTTTTTGATTGTGCTTATTTCACCCTTTTATAGTGCATATTTTGGCATCTAATCCAACGTCTACTGATTAGTTTTATAAAAACAAAACACTAAAACACATTATTGCGTAAACTTGTCAGTTAAATAATGTTTGGATTAAATTTTAATTGAAATGATGTGTTAAATAATAAATACACCTATGATAAAAATATGTAAAATAAAAAACGATAAACTTAATTCATCATTAAGAAAGCCGGTGATTTAAATTATGCTTTTAAAAGTCTTAAGTAATTGAAATAAACAACTCGTGTTCTTTTTTTATTAAATACTTTCGGTATGGACAATATCAAATTATATATATGTGAAACAAATGAAAAATTAAAGGCATCCATTACACATAAATTAAAGGTGCTTATTGTTTAGAGTAGTTTAAGTGACGAAGATGTTTCCAGTATTTTGTAATGTCGAGATTACTACTGTTAAATAATTAACACATACTTCTTCTAAATCCATGTAAGGTCCAGCTCCTTTCGGGAAACATTTCATCGGCAGCTACCGTTGGTTTCATTTTTGTCACAAAGTTTTCTAGAGTATGTGCTAACTTAACAAAGTATAAAAACGATTACTGATTAAATTTATTTCAGTACTAATAACAAAAAGTAACAACAGTGCGTTCCTCCAACTACGTTTATTGATGTTAATGTCAATTTGACATTCAAAACTCTTAACAGATTATATCTTCAGTTTTTAGAACCACAACAAAAAGGTAATTGCCTTTTTTTTTCAATTAATTTCCCACATTATTTTTAAATACACTAAATGCTTTTGTGCTAAAAAATATTTGTTGTATTTAAAAATTAGTGTATATTTAATATTACCTGTGTATTTAATTTGATCGATTTTAAGAAGAAGCTCAATATTCTTGACAAAAAATTACTCTCAAATAATTATATTGATGTATAATGATTGTGGAAACAGACATTGTAATCTGGATTTAAAAGATTTACAAAAAAATTTAATTAAAAAAATATCGTTGTCTGTTTACGAACGCAGTTACATTAAATGTGGACCTACGGATTTGAATATGTCAAAACTGAAAAAAAGTTTGAACGATAAATAATCAATTAAAATTAATTTTATGTATAGTATTTTACGAAATGACGTATATGTAATTTATTTTTAAATCGTTACCAATTTTAAACATATTCTTGTGAAAAATGCTGTCTTATGAAAATAAGGTTATACTTGCTCCTATGGTTCGTATTGGCACCTTACCCATGCGCCTGTTGGCTCTACGCTTTGGTGCAGATATAGTGTATTCCGAAGAGTTGATGACTGGAAAATTTTTACGTTCTAAGCGCAGGTATAATGGTATGTTTCATAACTAACCCTCCATAACATTATGTACCTCAATGTAGTTTTCGTTTTTAAAATATATGCTTAACTATGATAATCTTTAGGATTACCTTACCTTCATAGGTATCTACCTGTGGCACAAACGAATATCATTATTTGTTGTGCCTACCTATGATAATAATGGTAACTTGAGTTTATTTGCCTTTTGTTGATAATCATTTTTATAACACATTTACAGATATCCTACAGGACAGTAGATTTTGTTGACCAAACGGATGGGACCATCGTTTTTCGTACATGTGAGGAAGAAAAAGAAAAAGTTGTGCTTCAGCTTGGCACATGCAGTCCTGAGAGAGCTTTGAAGGTTGCAAAACTAGTGTTAGTATGAAATTATTTTGTATTAATTTTTATTAATTGTAATATTTGATTTTTTATTAAAAGATACATTTATACTTCAGTGAAAAAAGATGTAGCAGCTATTGATATCAATATGGGCTGCCCAAAAGAATTTTCAATCAAAGGAGGAATGGGAGTAGCATTAATGCAAAATTTTGGATAAAGCCTGCAGTATATTGAACACTTTGGTTGAAAATCTATCAATACCTGTAACATGCAAAATAAGGATTTTAGATACAAAAGAGAAGACTCTTGAAGTGGTTCAAAAATTAGCACAAACAGGTATTAAAGCTATTTGCTATTCACGGCAGGACCAGAGATGAAAGACCTCAGCATGCAGTACATCATGACATTATAAAATATGTATCTCAAAACATATCTATACCTGTTTATAGCTAAGTAAGTGATTGGCCCATTTACTCGTGCTGTCCATAAAAAATAAATTTTAATGAAACAAAACCAGTTCATTTGTGTTCATAAGTACTTTGTGTTTACCTATAAATTATATTAATAATGTCCTTTTTAAATTTCAGTGGCGGTTTCTAAAGAAATAGAAAAATATGCTGATATATTGAAGTTTAAGGAAATGACTGGTTGTAAGAGAGTGTAATGATAGCCAGAGCTGCGGAAATGGAATTGTTCAATATTCAGAAAGGATGGAATGTTAGATATGGACCAAGTCATCAAGGAATACCTTAAACTTGCAGTACAATTTGACAATTCGCCATCAAATACAAAGTACTGTGTTCAAAAACATACTAAGAGAATTACAAGAAACACCTAGAGGTAGACAGTTTTAGATTGCCAAACATTAGAGCAAATATGGTTAGTGCATATGTACATGGTATGAAATAATGTTTCATTGTTTTATATTTAATAATTAGTTTTGTTTTAGTGAAATTTGGGACTTAGGTGATTATTGTAGAAACAAAAAACAAAGTGAATACCAGAAATTGGGTATTCAAGGACGATGGCAAGTTTTGTCCTGAAGAGTTAGAACCTCCAAACAAAGAAAGCAAAGAGTGGAGATATCAATTTAAATGATGTTTTTTCAAATGAAGGTCTGTTATATCTTTATATATATTTTTTACACTTATTCAATATTTATAACCCACATTTTTTCAGGTCTGCTTCATTCGGGCGAACTACAATGATCTTAACTTTACCAAAATCCCAATTACATGCATGGGTTGGTAAAAAATGGTTTCAAAGTACCAACATATGAAAACACATCAAGTTGAGAAATTATTTAGATCAATATTGACACTGAATGGAAAGAAATATACATCAACATTTTGGGAAAAGAATAAAAAGTTTGCAGAACAAGGGGGCAGCTTTGGTGGCTTTGTATCATTTGGGATTAATTACAGAAGAAGAGTTAATAAAGCTTGGAAGTATAATCAAATAATGAAAGTAAAAAAGTTTTTTATTTCAATAACATTTATTTAATTTTAACTCTACTGTTGATTCTTCATATTTTCTATGTTAATAACAAGTTCTTTATTCAAATGTTCCAGTTTGTTATTTAATTTGTTTTGTCTTATTAAATCCTTTTTTTGTAGGTGATTGCAGTTCAAAAAAAACATTTATAGGAGTCATGTAGTATGTCATCACTATTGGATATTTTTAACTTTTCATTCAAATTTACATTGGATACTGAAATATCTTCTAATACGTTCTGAATGGTTTGGTAGGGGACGGGTATGGTATATTTATGAGTATCCATTACTTACAAGTTTCTTGTATTTCAAATGAAGTCTTGTAATATTTTTTTTTAATATCAATGTGATGCAGTTGCTCTTTACTTATATATTTATTCAATAATTCTTACTTCATTTAAATACAATCTTCGTAGTTATATTCCAAATTTTATTCAACTTTTTAAGTCATAGATTTTATCCAGATTAAAATATGCACAGAAGTCAATATGTCACATCTTTGATTTTGAACACTCGGATGTATATCTAAAACAATATAAATAGCTGTATTCATTTCAGATATGATAGTTTAGGAGAGGGATAATGTTTTTCAATATATTATAATTTATAAAACAGAACTGAAATAATTAAATAATATTTTTTGTAAGTACATTATGCAAAAAACAGATATTTAAGAGAGTAGGAATTTAACAGCAATAGACATTTAAGACAAAAAGTCTTTAAAGAAATTTTAAAACTAATATATGTTTAGGGTCTATATCTTTTCAAATATATTACCAATTGAAAGGTCATGTTTTGGAACATTTGTACAATTTAGAAATAAATGATACATTCACTTAACTGGTCTTAATCATCAGTGAACTTGCTGTGTTATTGATTTTTAAATGTAGGCCAAGGATGGTACTAGATAGAATAAACAAAAATGATTTCTGAATTGAGTAAGATCTTTCTCATAATCTAGATATGAAGTAAGCAAGTTGTTAATACCCCTAGTCATATATGTTCACAAGAAATTTAAGAAAAATTAGCAACTTGAAGTGGCGCTTATAAAATAAAAACTGGATAAAGTAGGATATTCTGGTAGCCCAGAAAACAGGTCTGAATGAATTCCATAATTTGTTAAATGAATGCTATACAACTTAATTTGTAAAAAAGGGAGAAATTAAACAAGGCACTTTCCTTTTAGTAAATGTCATTCTGAAAAAACTACACAAGAAAATCATAAACAGATGGAACATACATATCTTTATATTTCTTTTATATCATATCTCAAGATGGCAAGGTTTTTAAAAATATATTATATAGGCATTAAATCATCTTATACTTTTCATTTACAAGTTTTTTTCGAGTTTACATGGTCACTAAATTTAATATGCAATTGCTGGAAACAGACACTGATGATAAACATAAGAAAAAAATATTACACCTAAAAATGGGGATGTGAATGAAAAATAGTTTAATATCATCTAAAAGAGTTTAAACACCAAAAAGTTAAGGAAATTACTTATGTGTATATAGAGCTAAGGGAAATATACTTTGTTACCTTGTACAGAATTTTTTAAGTTATCAATTTTGTTCATAACAACTCACTAATCACTATTGATGGATTGCTGTGACAAGCGGTTAACTGTCAGCATTTTTTTTTTTGTAAATGTTTTTATGTCTCTGGATACAAGTCCTTTTGAGCACTGTCAGCAAACGTCTAAAAAACGTTGACAGTTTAGTATTAACTATTACAACGTTATTATAATGATTTTAATATGTATTTACCAAATAACATTATAAAGATTGGAATTATAAAACAATTCCATGAGGTAAAAAAAACATAGAAAACAGGAGAATCCAATATAAGTGAACATGTGGAAAAAAAAAATGTATTTTTAAAAATAGGTTTGAAAAAGTATTTAAAGTTTACTGTTTCGATAAATATAACTTAATAATTTAATATCTCGTGAAAGCTAATTATAAAAGTAAATATAAAATTATAAATAAATTTTATGATTAATTTATTTGTATATATTATCTGATAATTTTTCCTAAAATACGTTAAATTTCTGAAAGTGGAAACACTAAGTCATAGACAACAAATATTTTGTTCCATTATTGTAATGGATTCGTGGTTTTGGTAAAAAAAAATCATACAAGCTCATTTTCAAAAGCGCCTACTGATATTTTTTTGATAAGTATAAGGTTTTTAAATGGTAATAACGTGTATATTTTATTTCTCTTGCAATTCCAATATGATAACATTTTTGAAATTGAATGGAATCTAATACGATTATATGTTTTTTTTGGATTTTACTATAAGAATTTACTTTCCTATTAGAAAATGTAACTAATACAATAATTATTATATCTATAGGTCTAATAGGAAGCCTGTGTGTTATAATATGATATTTAAATTAAATACAGTGTAAACTCTATATAACGACACTGAAGGGACCGTGCATTTTTTAGTGCGTTATAGAGAGTTGCCGTTAAATAGAGGGAAGAAAAAAATCAGAATTAGAAAAAGACAAAGTTTGTTTCAGACTACTGTTAGTACTTATGTACATAAAAAATAATGTTATAAAAGTTCTGTTGTTTTTGTTTGACGTGTTTTGCTGCACCAGTAATGTTGTTGTATTTTTTTACGTATTTTATTCATATCTTGCGATATTGAGGCATATTGGTGAAGAACGAATTTCTTAGAAAGTTTTGGTATGCATGATTACGACAGTGGAGTTTATTGCGGGCTAGGATAAGAAAGCGACAAAAAAAACGTACACAGCTGCGCATTTTACTAATTTTAGCAACACTTAAAGGGTACTTTTAAATACTTAATTTTGTCGTTATTGAGAGTGGCTGTGACGCTATATAGAGTGTATGATTGTATGGTAGACAAGCTAAACCAACCAAAGTCTAATGATTTCGACGCTTTAGAGAGTTTGTCGTTAAATCGAGTGTCGTTATATGGAGTTTACACTGTATGTTATAAAAAAATAAAAAAATAATAGAATCAATATTAAAGATATTTCAGGATTTTACTCATAGTATAGATATATCAAAATCGTAGTGTGATTCTGTGATGTTTACCTTTAACCTTTTGACACACTAGTTGTAATATATTTGACTAAAAATCGTTTTATAGTTTTCGGAAGCCATTTTTTTAAGATAATTTATTTAATTTCTATTTAAATACATTTAAAAGTTTAAGGACATGGGTTGTTGGGAATTATAAGAACTTCTATTTATGAATTGCTTATCAATTAGTTTTCATTGCAATTAATAATAATATAAGATTACTTTCTGTTATTGAAATAACACAAATTTGAAAAATACAAATTGAAAAATACATAAACTATCTTAAATTAATTATTATTTTATTTAATAAGATATTGTTTTTATTATTGAAGTAAAAGACAAAATTCAGAAAAATTTACGTGTGATTCTACTTAAATGTTCATTTATATATTTTTTATTAGTTTTATTAATTGATTGAGCAATGTGTACCTATATAAGAGGCGGGAATTTATAACTACTGATTTAGAAGGCGTTAAAAGCCCGCATATGACGATAAATTATAAAATTTTGATTATGTACGGAGCGTCGTGTCGAGAATAAAAAAATAAGTATAAACTATAACGGTTTATAGCCACATTAAATCTTTTAGTAAATTACTTTTTCTTTTTATATTAGAAAATTTGTTAAAAAAAATATTAAAAAAACCCCGTATTTATAAATATACATTTTTTTTTGCCCACTGCTGAGCAAAGTCCCTCTTTGTCACATGGAGAAGGTTTGAGCATTAATCACCACGCTTGCTCAAGACGGGTTGGTGATTTCAAACTTAATAATTGTGAAATTATAAGTCTAGGTTCCTCACGATGTTTTTTCCTTCACGTCTGTCAGTGATGTCTAAATACTCTTAGAAAGTACATATGATTCGAAAAAAAAATCACATTTGGTACTTGCCAGGATCCCACCCGCGCCCTCGGCAAACTCTTTAACCCACTATTCCACCACTGACTTAATACAATATACAATACAGACAAAATTTTAATAGTCTTAACAATTCTTCGCTAGTAAGTGCACTTTATATCTATATAATTATTGTATAAATATTTTAAAAAATTGTACCTAAACAAAATTTTATAATTTCTTCATGTTATTTTTAC